GGTCCAGTGCGGGGGCGACACTGAGGGTTGCGATCCGTGGCCGGACACGGAAAAAAACAAAAAACAAAAAAAAAAAAAAATACCAATTATTCCATGAAAGGTGCCCTGTTTGCCATCAACTCAATATGATCTTCTCTGATTTTGAACCCCAACAGCACTCTGCCTTTACCTTGTCCATGGCAGAGTGTATGTGAATGTGCGTGTGCGTGTGTGTGTGTATGTGTGTGCGTGTGTGTGTGTGTGCGTGTGTGTTGGTGATGATTTGTGATCTTCTTGAGGCCAAGGGTCAGGGTGAGGACTGAATAAGAACACCTGAATTGGAAGCACAGCTCTCTCCTTCCCTGGCCACCTGATAGAAGTCACTGATCTTAAGCCTCAGTTTTCTGATCTATCCAGTGGGGATATTCATTCCTATCCTGTCTACCTTACAGAATGCCTTAAAATTAGATAAAGTATAGAGAAGTGCTGAAGAAAATGTAAATCATTAAATACACATGTTATTGACAAGAAATTCAACCATGATGATTTTTGTATTCTCCACTGTACCCAATTCAGGAATCTCACAAGTATATTATTATTAAATATTGAATGAATACATGATCAGAAGCAATTGGCTAAAAAAGTTTTAAAACAGGTCCTTATGTTGAAATTTCATTTATGTTGGATTCTCCACTGTACCCAATTCAGGAATCTCACAAGTATATTATTATTAAATATTGAATGAATGCATGATCAGAAGCAATTGGCTAAAAAAGTTTTAAAACAGGTCCTTATGTTGAAATTTCATTTATGTTGTTATTGGGGTATTTCTGAAATCATGTCATAAAAATATTTTCCTCCTTTAACACTGCCAAATAGCCAGTGTTAGTTTAAAATTACCTATGAAAGTCAGTCAATTCTCATATTAGAAAAAAAGAACACAATCATTATTGCTGTGAGAAGACAATATTTGGAATATTTGTGAAATTTTATTATTTTAAGATTTCAAAATATATTTTAAATGTAGTTAAGTTTCTATTAAGAGAAGTGAAGTTACTAACCTGAAAAACTACACAGTGCAGGATACAATTGGAACCCAAAATGAAAAGAGATCAATTTCTTTATCTTGGACAAATATATCAAATAACACATTTTGCACATGAAAATAGCCTCAAAAATTCTCACAATTTCATATGTCTTATTTATAAAACTCAAAGGAATCATTCAAGACTCAAAGCTTATTTATAAGCAACACTTATTTCTTTAAATATATAATTGTTGTGACATATGGTATGTGAA